CCCCATCTTCACCTTCTCAGCTCAGGCTTTAACATTCAGCAGAGTCATTTACCTCCTGGCACTACTATTAGTCACAATGAAATTTTGAGGGAAAACTGGAAAAATGAAGTAGAGAGAAATTACAAGTGACAGCCATGAGCTATGTATCATTATTTTGTGTTTCTGGAAGAAAAGTTATTTATTTTGGAACAGATTCAATATATAATCATTTAAGTGTGACCCCCCCCTCCCAGTGCTCCCTGCAGGAAACCTAAGATTAATGTAAGGACTTACATTATGGTTTTTTGAGAGTTTTGCTTAGTTAAACTATATAGGAGACAGAAGATGGTTTAAGAGTTGTTATGTTGTAACATGGAAAGAACAGTATGAATTGCTGTGCAGTTATCATCAATTCTGATAATGTTAATGGGAGGCTTCCTGTGCCTGCTGGGAAGCAGCCAGTATTACTCCAAGTTATTAGTATGTTAGTTACACAACCTCATTAACCACTACATCACATTAACATTCAAAACTGATGGTTCATGGAGGTTTATTTTGTTAATGTGCAGTGCACACCATTTCTCTGCTCAAACCACACACCCCACGCAGAGATCCAAGTCGGAAACACGTGGAAGAACCTTCTGCTTCAGGCAGAGTACACTTTTACCACTTCAAGCAATAAGTCCTTGACATAGGTTTCTGCCCAGATCCATAAAATCATTTGGAGTAAAGAAAGGGTGATTTTTGGGCCATCAAACTCCTGGCACAAGCAAGCCAGGACAGAGTGTCATAAGCTGCAAGGAGGGATGGCTGACCAAGGCGAGTGCCTTGAATGCCTCTGCCAAGGTCTAAGGGAAATCCAGGCTTGTCTCTTGCTGTTTTATTGATTAGCTGAATAACCACTGGCAATTTGCTCAACCATTTCTCCATTTCACATGTGAAAACGGGAATAAAAGCAGCCAGCTTCCTCCCAGATTCATTCATTCACTCATTCATACTTGCAAAGTGCTCTGAGGTTATGAGAAGGGAGGAGCCTGGTCACCATTACTGTTCATTAAGATAACTTCTTACCTGACATGATTAATAATAAGATTTGTAGGTGGTATAAAAAAATCCTCCACTCCTTGGAAGGGCGTGCGGATCACCCGCGGATCCTCCCCCGCGCTCGCCTCCGGGATCACCTACAACAAACACAGCAGGTTGAGCACAGGAGGAGCAGGGAGTAAAGCAGAAAGGTAAACACAGATTACACACAGGCACAGGGCCCAGTGGCTCTTCCCAGGCTTTAATTGATTAATGACTTCAAAACACTGTTTGGTGTCGATGTCTTGAAAAGTTGTGCTAATAAATAGTATTTGAGGCTTGACATTTGTAAGGTAAGTACACAACTTGACTTTCCTAAGTGGTTTACATTTCGAGAAAGAGCAGTCATGCAGGAGCTGAAGCAGTATGACAACATTAGGACCATAATAATTCATCCCTCACTGTCTAAAGTAAACACCTATTTCATGGTCACATTTATTAATCTCACTTAAATGCACAGTGATAATTTACCAGCTTGAAGGATCAAACAGTAACTCACAGCAGCTAATTATCACTTTGAAGGAGAAAAACTGGTCATCCACCTATAGCACCATGTAAAGTTCAGGGAGGGGCATAGAAGGGCCCTTTGGCTGTCCCCTGGTCCTGTCCTCCAGCACAGGACACATCTCCATGGCCAGGGGAACTCAGCTCCTCCACTGCTCTGGAAAGGAGAACCTCTCAATAATTAAAATGCTAAATACTCAAATTTATTGCTGGGTTCAAGATGATTTTAGTCCATTTGTTAGGAACTTCTGTTGCTCTAATGTGCAACAGTCGTTGCTTTGAATTTATAGCTACATAATTCATTAAAGAGATGCTAAATCCCTAAAAGGTTTAGTTCAGACAGCTGTTCTGGTCATGCCATTTAGATTTCTTCCAATTAGATTGCTCAAGAAGGATGTCCACCCTTGCATAGTGCTTTCAAGAGGCCAGACATTTGCTTACCACAAGCCAGTAATGGCTAAACAACAGCATCCCATTAGTTGGTTGCACGGGCAGCTTGATGAATCCCTGACTTCCAGAGCACGAGTGGAAATTTAAATCAACCTCTGCAGCAGCATCTTTGTTAACAAAAGATGTTTTATTGCATGTCTGCAAGTAACCACTGCAGGTTTTAAGGAGGAACTTTGCTAAATTAGTCACTGCCCGCCTTTTGGGAAGGAAGGTCAGAAAAAAAGAAAGGATCTGCTGATGCTGATGCTAATCTCACCTCTTTGTGTGTAACTGCACTTCTTAAAGATAACAGAAAGGACTAGAGAGCTGGAGCCTTCTAACAAGTTTCCAACTGTGCAGGTGGTGTGTTCTTCCTAATAATGACATGCTTGTGCCATCTCTACTTTAATTACACAAACCTCTCACAGCTGGATGGAAGAAATTAAGTCAGAAAGGGTAAAGAGAGCCCATTTTGTCCCCTTATACCCTGTATATATACAGGAAACTGCTCATCCCCTGGTGAGACGACGTGGTGGCATTGCCTTGCAAACCCTCATTTATTCACCCCCTTTCTGGTTTTGGTGTCTTCCTGAAATCACCCACGATGGAGTAGCTGTTCCAGTTTTTATTATTGACAGTCTGCAGTCGTTATCTTGGATGGAGCATGTGGCTGGTGGGAATGGCTCATCCCATCTTCACAGAGCAGCATCTCCAGCGAAGCCTTGGGCAACCCCAGGACTAATGTAGACTCCAGGTTTGTAGGTTTGTAGGTCAGAAAGCACAGACACTTTTCTTCTCTGCCTCCTGAGGAGTGCTTTAATGTAGACTTACCAGCACACATTTCTGGCAGGAGTATTTGCATGACACCTGTATTTCTAGAAAGGTTGGGCAGCAAGGGCCAGAAAACAACTACTAGAGAAGGGTTGTCTGGATGGATCAAATCAGCTCTGGTGTCAACTCTGTCATATAACACACAGCAGCAGCAAAACACCCAATTAGATGACTACTCTCCATGTGTCTGTACTGCTAATGGAAGAGTGAATCTGTCAAGGTAATCCAGAAGCAGAAGCTAATTTAGTTGCCCACACTCATGTGCAGTGCTGTGTCCCAACATCACCGTGGGTCTGATGGTGCTGAGCGTGGAGGAGCTCCAGGGACCTGGCTGGCACCCCTCCAGTGGAGTCACTGACACCCAGTGACAGAATTTGTTCCTGAGGTTTTGCTTTTGCTGTTTATGGGTTTTTTTTTTCATGCCCTAGAGAGCTCCTTTTTCTTTGACTTTTACTGCGAGAGATCCATAGAACCACAGAATCACAGAGGTTGGGAAAATTCTCTAATACTATCGAGTCCAACTATTCCCCCAGCACTGCCAAGGCCACCACTAAACCATGTCGCCAGGTGCCACATCCACATGTCTTTTCAATTCCTCCAGGGACAGTGACTGCACTGCTGTCCTGGGCAGCTGTGCCAGGGCTGGACAACCCTTTCAGTGAAGAAATTTCTGCTAATATCCAACCTCAACCACCCCTGGCACAAACTGAGGCTGTTTCCTCTCCTCCTGTGCCTTGTTCCCTGGGAGCAGAGCCTGACCACCCCCCCTGGCTCCCCCCTCCTGTCAGGGAGTTGCAGAGCCAGAAGGTCCCCCCTGAGCCTCCTTTTCTCCAGGCTGAGTCCCCCCAGCTCCCTCAGCTGCTCCTGCTGCTCCAGCCCCTTCCCCAGCTCCGTTCCCTTCCCTGCACACACTCCAGCCCCTCAATGTCTGCCTTGGAGCGAGGGGCCCAAAAGTGACCTCAGGATTTGAGGTGTCTCAGCAGTGCTGTGGAGCACAGCAGGCTTGTCCTGCTCTTATCCAGCTGCCAGCCCTTGCTGTATGACTTTATGGCACTTGGCTCTGCCACCAGCCTGAAAACAAACCAGAGCCCTGCTGCCAGCCTGCGGCACAGTCATTGCTCAGAAACAAATTAAACAGCAGGAAAAATATGTGAGGATGGACAGAGGAGGGCTCAATAAAACACACTGGATATGCAAACGAAACAGCAGCTTTGTATCCAGACCATTAAATGCTGTTAATTACCTGCAACCCACCAGTCACCAACGTGCTATCAGTGATGCTGAGCCCAGGAAGAGCAAAGGCTCTGGCAGGTCAGGACTCACCTGCAGTGTGGTTGAGGATTTCCTCATGTCCCCCCAGCTGAGCACCCACACTTGGTCGTGGGACTTGTCATAATGTAGTTTGGTTGGTAATGGGTCCACATACAAGGACTTAAAAAAACCAGAGACAGTTATTTACACAGTGGCCCAAAGGCCCAGGACAAATATGACATGAGTTCACTGCAGGCATCCCATGCACCCTGGGACACTCCCCGTGCAGCTCTGCCCTCAGAGCAGCTGGAGGATCAGCAGCAGCACAAACATTTGGCTCTGCTGCCATTTCCTGGGTAGACATCACTCCATCTTAAGCTGTTACTTACAGCCAGTAGATCAGGGGCCAATTTGTGCTTAAACTGTAGCCACACCAGCTCATTCTTCCCAACCTGCTGATGACCCAGCACAGGCAGCTAAGTCAGAAATTCATCCCAGCATTATTTTACCAGACTCACAGCAAGCCTGGCTGCAGATGTAGCCCTGAGACTATGAACTCCAACCCCCAGAGGAGTCTTTTCCTGTCAGGTTACAGAACAAGGAATGACAGTGTGACCCCACAGGTGAAAGCAACACAGGTCCAGCTTTTTAGTAATGTCAAGAGATCCACTGGGCAAAGAGCTAATTTTTTTGTCCTGTATTGAGTCTTTTGCCAACAGTGAATAACACATTCACTTGTAAGTACCTGTATGGCTTTCTGAGTCTGGATATCAATTATCAGGACTCTGTTCTGCTTAGGCTGTGTCACATAAATGTACTTGTCTCTGACATTGACTGCTGAAGCCCAGAGGCAGGACTGAGTGTCTTCACCTTCCACTCTAGGACAGATTTCCTCCTGAGGGAAAAGAAAAAAAAAGAAAAGATTTAATTCCTACAAGTTCAGGGCCTGGAGCAGCAAGAAGCTTAGACTTGAAAACCATTGGAAAAAAATCCCTGGGGATTCTGAGAGGATGATATTTTTCCCCTTTCTTTCCTGGAAAACATGAAATAATTAATTTATCGTGTACCACACTGCAGCCTGGCTCTGTACAGTGACATTAAACAGCTGGACCTCCTGCAAACATATATTGAATTTAAATAACCACACAGCCCATGGATCGATCTTTTGAAGTGCACTGAGGTTCATCAAGGCTTGCAGTGCTGTCAGCATTTATTAGCAACAGAAATATCACTCTGTGCTTTGAAAAAACAGGGATTTACATTAACTGAACCACTGCTTCATATTTTTCATAAAGTCTTCATTTTCTGTGCAGGAGACCATGCTCTAAAAACACTTGTGCTCAGGGAAACAGCAGCAAAACAGGCAGAATCCTACAGCACCAGAAACTTCCCCATTGAAAAGGAACCAAATCCTGCTGCTTTGGACCAAATCCTGTTCACAGTTGCCCGATGCTATATTTTGTCTCTGATCCTCCACTCACTGAGTCCTGTGGAGAAGAGAAGAGAAGAGAAAGAGAAAGAGGGAAGAGAGAGAAAAGAGAGAAAAGAGAAAAGAGAGAAAGAAGATCCTGAGTTGGAAGGGACCCACAAGGATCATTGAGTCCAACTCCTGGCCCTTCACAGGACCAGATTCACACCATGTGCAACAATTATGGATAAAAAGATATCACCTCTAAGCAGCACAGCTCTGTTGGTAGGTGCCTTGGTGGAGACCATGAGTAAGGGTTGAATACACAAGACTTAATAGCATGGCTGCATTTTCCTTTCTGTCCCTCCAGCCAGGCTGGGAATGGACACTAAGGCAAGCTAAAAGATGCTACACCAGCTCAGATTTGGGCTTCCAGCAGCTGTTCACACAGCCAAGCACCTGACAGCCTCCAACCTGCTCTCCTCATCCTCAGGTCTCACAACAGAATATCCATTCAAGCCAACAGGAGCAGAGAAAGGTCACAGGACTTTCTGCTGCAGTGCAGCTCAGCTGCTCTACCTGCTTTTGTGCCCTCTAATAGCAAATGAAACCTTTGTTGTAGAATCCCTCCTGAAGTTGCAGGCTGCTGTCACTGCCTATGTAGAAAACACTCAAGATAGTAAAAGGCAAAAGGGAGGAAAAAAAGGTCAACCATCCCCAGATCAAGGGAAAGGGCTCTATGATATCTGCAGGAAACCCTCAGAGGTGTCTCTGAAAGGCAGCCAAGTGATGATGCTGAAAATCCCTTTTATGCCCACCACTGTGCTGACATTATTTCCTTAAGTGCCCTCTCTCCTTTTTTCTTTTCAAACTGTTTCTCCAGGACCACCTCTTCGATATTTACAGCTCTTTGGAAAAGAAACACAAGAATTCTGTCTTTGAGAAGCAACAGCTCAAGTGTGGCTTAATAATATTATCCACTAAGGACCAGCCCTGGGGTGAGCATCAGTCTGGATTTCTTCCAAGGTATATTAAAACTAGTGGAAAAAAAAATCAATATCAACCACAAATATATTGAGATTTAGAAAATATGAAATACAGACTCACAAGAAGATCTTGACCCATAGCAGCAGAGCCTGACCCAGCCTGCAGGGCTCACAATAGTGATTGTCCCCTTCTATTCCTCCCAAAATTGAAAGCAAGGCTGAGTCTTTTTTTCGGAAGGGAGCCACAATCCAAGCTTCCCTTTTTTAAAAAATAAAAACTAAATAAGGGAGTAACTAAAAAACCATTTCTGGATGTATTTCAGCACTGGGTTTTACGAGAATTGACATTTTCACGAGGATATCCACGATGTGTGTTACTGCACAGGAATACATGGCACAGGTCACCGAGAGCTCTGGCCTCCCAGAGCCTCCAGGCATGTGTGACCCACTGGCCATGCTGAGCTCCAGTGCTTGACATCCACTGACAACTGAACAAATGTTCCTTGGGATTTCCTAAAGCAAGGGTTAAGTAAACTCAGTGCTGACAGAAAAGTGCCAGCAGCAAACACAGCGTGCAGGGCTCTGTTTCAGTGTCAGAAGATGCACAGGACCTGCATGGCATAACCATCTTCTGGCATTCCTATTCACCTCCCTGCTGGGGTTTAACATGGGAAACCTTTTCTACAGAGCAGGAAGCAGCCCAAAGGACCCACTGCTCTGCCTGTGGAGCCATCAGTAAAAGGAGCACAGTGAGTGATGTGTGCATCTCTCTGCTCCTGGCTTCTGTACCTTCCCCAAAGCCCAGCTACAACTTTGGGGCACTGATAACTAAACAGATCAAAGAGGACAAATGAAAGTCTTTGCTTACATGAAAACTAGTCAAATTCTCTGCAGCATGTCACTAATCCTCCACGGCAGCCTTAGAACTTCCGTGGTTCCCTTGATTTTCCAGAGAAGATGTTGCACCTCAGGGATGCTGCACGAAACCCACCCAGCTCCAAACACTCCCGTGGCAAACAGGTCCTTCAGCAATAACAACCTTTGAAGAGATTAACAGGAAGTTTCCCAGCTGTAGCTGCTGGGCTTAGGACTTACATAAGTGGTGAAAATCCTCTCTTCGGGCCTGATGTGTCTCCGGATTTCGCATTCGTTTGGCTGCAGGACCGTGATCCCATCATCGGAAAAGACATAGAACATATTCCCCACACTCAGGCCTTGAAGGGGCATAAAGCAAAAGAAGTGGGATTTTTTTTTGGTATGTACCCACAGCTGTTAGGACTTAAAGGACTCGCCCTCCTCCCCCAGCAAACAAAATCTGCCTTACATAAAAGTTGGTCATTTGGATGCAGTCGGTGCATTCACAAAATCAAAGTTCATGTCACAACGAGGGCTTCAAGGAGTGAAGAGGTACAGACACATTCAAAAATGCATTGCCTTGGTGGCGGTGGTTGTACTCAAATAACTGTGGTCAGCTCTTGGAAATAGGTACCAAAGCAGGATTTGATCACAGGAAGCCCTTCTACTGCACTGCTAACTCCCTCAGATCAGTTTTTTTCCCTATGATTTCATCAAAACCAGACTGATAATAATTTGAGAACTGAAAGAAAAGCTTTAGTTAAAATTAATCTGAAGGCCATTCTGTTACAGGCAACTTGACCTCTTGTAACTGCCATGCAAAATGAAAGTGCTCAGCATCTGTTCCATGGATGAAAATATACAGATTTGTCTATTTTCTTAACCTATCTGGATGAACTAACTACAGCCACCAAAATAAATACATTTTTGAAATCTTGCAAAGTGTAATTCACAAATGTGGAGTAGTTCAGCAACACAACAGCACTCATTTATCCAACTGGGGCATTCCAGGAGATTTGGAAAACTGGCTGGATCGTCACTGCTTTGCTGTTAGGAGACTGTATTTTATCATTTCTGTCCTGCAGAAACACCTTAAAACACTGATAATTTGGTTGTTCTTCACTACATGCAGTTGCAGCAACGAGCATGTTTGAGAAATGTTGAGGATCTTTTCACTCTAGTTCCAAAGATCCAAGCATCCTTCCATCTTTTTCACACCACCACCAGAAAGTGTTTGCAATGACCACTGTCACCCCAGCAGTGTTGAGAGTGTACTTCTCTGCCAACAAAATGGTGATGTTATCATTTGTAATTTCTAATTAATTTCATGGAGAAATAAGGTCCTGGTTCTATGGAATAGTTGGAGTGTTAAAAATTCCCTTGGCTGGTCCTGTGGTGGCAGCTTTAAGCACCACTCATAGTGACAGAATTTCTCACATTTCTGAAGCGTTTGCAGGATTGAGATCTACTAAATCATCCCAGAAAACTTCACAGTCAAAACATGGATAAATGCATTTTTGGAAAATGTTGTACAATATATAGTATCTAGTAATGCTAGAAGGGGTTTTTTTGGTGCTAAAAACCCCTCCTTTGGTGCCAAATCAGTGGCTTCAGAGCACAAATGTCTCAGCATGTGATGTTTGCTGCACTCACAACGTGCAAGTTGAGTCCCTCTAAACCATAGCACAGAAATCCCCCAGTTGGGGCATCAGGTGGGTACAGGAGATCCTTAAATGTGATGCCACAGTGAGGGATCATGCATGGAGGAAAAAAAAGCTACAAAAATTCCACTGAGGACTAAGTTCTTTTATGGACTAAGGGTTAATTTTGTTTCAAGTATATTGGTAAAACATTTCGTTTGGGCACTTTGGACCAAAACCTGCCCTCCCAGAACACACACAACTCCCACCTGCCTCAGTGGGATTTGAGTGAACACAACAGAGGGCAGAGTTTGACCCTGGCCTGGAATGAGTGCACATATTCCATGGGGAAAGGATTTTAATCCTAAGAAGTGGAAACAGGCAGGCAATCAATCACGACCACTGTGAGGATGCTCATTATCATTATTTTCATGCACAATAGTAGCGTGATTTTGTCTGATGATCCCATTACAATGAGGGTGTGTTTAAGAAGTAAGACCTTAATTTCCCACAAAAATACTATGACAACAATTTTACCCCAGCAGGTTTAGAGTCTTGACTTGGTAAGTCACACCACTTATTTTACAGTAAAATGAGCCCAAGCTTTTCTGCTGACTGATTAAAATATGCTACAAATTACTGAGAGCATTCAGGTACTCTCTTTTTAAAAAAGTTTATCAATTTAAATTATTTTTTTTTTAGAGATTGATCTTCACACTGATTTTTAGACCAAGCAGGTTTTTTACCAGACAAAGTAGGTACTTTACTGTGACTTATGAAGCATTTTCTAAATCTTGATTGGGGTACATCCTAAACAATCTCATGGACACCAGTAAAACAGATTCCACTCCTGATTCTACTGCTGCAACTCCTTGGTCCAGGGGATTATTTCAGTACATAGGTGGGCAGTGGGGTATTTTGTATTATTTATACCAGTAAGGCAGGTACTAGATTGGGAATTGGGGCACTAATGAGGAGGGGTTTTCTTTTTTTCAGGTTGGATGGCACAACCAGTTCAAAAACTAAAGGTATAAGGAAAGGCAACATACCTCACCTGTATAGCAAATTCATTTTTAATGGAATTGAAAGAATATATGAAAATGTAAAAACAAAAATACCATTCCTGTCTTCCAGCCCTCTCTGTGCCAAGATTCCACATGCTTAAAGTTTGTTTGATGGATTCTTTGTCTGGAACAAATGTGCCCATCAAATACTACAGAACAACACAGGCAGGGGAATAAACCTGCTCTACAGATACTGAATTGTTTAGGAACATCAATAGTAAATCTGCTTTTACTGCCCATGTTTTGCCTCTACATTGCTCATACTTTTATTTAAAATGTGCAAGGTTGATAAGCAGTAAGTCCATATTGTTTAGCAAAACCATAATAAGACTTTCTGCAACCAACTTCTTAGCTGTTCTTTAAATATTATTGTACTTCTGCATCTGGTGGGGTTATCCAACTGCTTTCTTTAAAAAGGAGCAGAAGGGATGCTGTACATAAACAGCACTGTGCAGAAGATGCTGGACTGATTAGAAGCCCCAGAGATTTCATTTGCAAGCAGAAGGGAGACAGCAATTCTTAGTGCCTGTAATGCCATTTACAGGAACATCAGCAGTGAAGAGCCTCCTCAGGGCCCTGCACCAGGCACTTGGGGGTATTTGGGAAGAAGTGCTGGGTTAGGTGGCTGTGCCACCTCTCCTGACCTCCAGCCAGCTGCATTTGGCTTGGGCTGGACTGACTCAGAGCTCATGCAGTGTATTTGCTCTGTGTGCCTGTTTGCAGCCAACAGAGGCACACCCAGGGTGCAGCACCCATCACTAAGCACTGGCACCTTCCTTCTGCCCCTAAAATCCTCTGTGCTGAGCCCCAGCCATGCAGAAAGCTCCACGCTGAGGGCATGAAGCCCAAGTGCTGTTTTGGGTCCTGGAGGCACCACTTGTGAAGGGGTGAAGGGAGCGGGGCAGCCCTTCCCAGAGGAGTCAGGGGATGGAGGGAGGGTGTCTGCAGTGGGCAGGGGGACGTGGCCCACAGCAGCTTGTCACTGCACAGAGACCTTTCCCACCCAGCTAGAAGGACACCAAGGTCCCATCTGCCTCACATGCAGCTGGCAGATCTAAGAACTGGCAGATCTAAGAACTGCCTTACACCTGAACTTCAACCCCAGACCCTTCCTGCAGTGAGTGGACACCTTGCCCACAGCCCTCCAGGAGCCTGAGGGTCCCCATCCACACCCCGTGGCTCCACAACCCCAGGGACAGATGGACAACCTCTGGGAGAGCCCCTTGGGCCATTGCATGATGCACCTTACAGGATGTTTTGGGAATTATGACAGCACAAGCATGCACAAAATCAGACAATTTTTCACTTCAAGGGCCTCCATAATATCTTTGGGTCAATTAGCTGCTTAGGATGGTTTATTTTTCCTAATTTGGCTTCCAAGACACACAGATGTTGACCTTGTGCAGGGCACACTATAAATTTGATCAAACCAGAGATCTTAACTGCCAATTAAAACAAGGAGAAATGGGGCAACCTTTACCCTGCATCGATTTAACAGAGAGAAGGAAGAAAATCTGTTGTGGTTTAGGTTTTTTTTGCCTAACGGTCAAGAACACAATTTTTGCTGCTCACCTAGAACACATCAATACATGCTACTGAAAAGGAAGAGCTTGAATTGCTTGCTGAAAAATGCAATGTATTGAATTTATGCCTTACTTGTTCAATTATGGTAATTTGGGAGCACTTTGACACTTGTGTGATTGTTAATGCAGCTTCAGAATCTCAGGCTACTCACATTTGTGGCAGTACATATAAAATTCGTATTTTTATATATTTTATGGTCATCCCTTATTTCAGAGTGGGAAAATGGAAGAAGTTATAGGTAGGAGAGTGACATCTCTTATTTGAATAACTTAGCTTTTAAATGTCTGGTCTGTACTTAATCTGGTAACTGTGAAAGCTGACAGGGTTAGTGGTAAGTCAGTGGAGAATGGCCCATCATGGAATTATTAAAGCAGACAAGCACATTATCACTACAACAAAAGAACTTTACTGCAGTACCTTCCTCTCGCCACAGTATGTTTGCAACTGCAGCATCAGAATATTGGGAAAGCCAGAAAATAACCAGGAAAAGAAAAAAAAAACAACAAAACAATGTCAAAACTTTCATTGTAGCAAGTAACTGAATAAATACTCACGTTTACATGAACTGTTTAATTGGTGAAAACTTTGTAACATTCATTCAAGTAAAATATCAGGAAAGACAGAGAGTTCTAAATACATTTGCCCCTCTAGAGACAATTCAGAAACTTTGTCATGGAAGAAGTCCTGCCTGAAATGAAGGGGGACTGCAGCCTGTGCAAAGATCAGTGACCTCCCAAAGAGAAGCTGTTCCCTTCAAATGCAGCTGGAGGCACAGCACAGGCTGGGATTGTCTGTGCAGGTTCAACAAGGAAACATGACATGGAATTATTGACTCATCAAGGTTGGAAAAGACCTCTAAGATCATCGAGTCCAACCATTAACCCAGCACTGCCAGGTCCACCAACGTCTTTCAGAAGAAGCCTGAGACTGGCAGCTACAGCAGCCACACACTTGGCTGCATTTTTCTTGGATCTTCATGCAACTCCATTCTCTTTTAGAATTCAGATACACTTTGAAAGTACACCTGCATTTGAACTTCTGTTTAAGATAGATCCAATTATTTCTCAACATCCTGTAATTTCCTTTGCTCCAGAATTCAAGGGAAAATGACCAATGTTAAAAAGAGTACATGAATCTGGTTAATGAAGAATAGAATATATTTTCCAAAGATTCTCCACAGGGGCCTATATTTATGGGTAACTTTGTTTCCAATTCTTGCTCTATATTAACAGCCAGAAAAGCAGCAAAAATCCCATTTGCACCTAAACTTTTAGTACCACCATAAACCCAGGCAATCTCCCAAGTAGTTAAGAATGGCAGAATTAGGAAGGATCAGGCCTCTGGGAGCTTTTCCATTGGGGCAACTAATCAGCTCCTTCAGTAATTGTGTTTTGGGGACAGTGTGGTCATGGTAACACTGCCACACTCCTCCAGGAGACAGGAGGGAAGAATATTTGTCTTTGAAGCTGAAGATAATTTCACACTGAGGGAAACCTATTCTGCTAGTTAGTGATGTAAAAACAGGTAAAAGAAATAATTTAATCACTACATTTTTCAAACATCTAAATATTTGAGAACTTCGACTGGTAACTGGCTTCAAAAGAAGAAATCTCGTACAGAAATCAATGAGATTTATAGAATTTGACAAAATACTACATTTTGGATTCTCTGATATCCAAAGTTATTGCCAATTTTCTACTCTAATAAAGCTGTTACCCATCCCACACTCAGTGTACTTCTGGCACATGAAAGGCACCACTGGCCTGGGCAAGATTTTACCTTCTCTGAGTGATTCCTACCCAAAAAAGTATCCAACCCTCTGATCAAAGTGCAGTCAGAACTGTCATTACCTTATGGAACAGTCCAACAAACTGCATGCAAATGGCCTGAGCTATTAAATTACATGTATGCCATCACATTTGTACATCCTTTAAACAAATAAATCCATGGAAAATGAAGCTTACGGGTCTTTCTTGCTGAATCTTCGATGAAAAGTGAAGATATATCCTCGTCCACTCCCACCTCATTTTTGGCAATGCAGGTGTAGGCACCAGTGTCCTCGTACCGAACGCTGCTGATGTGGAGTTCACTCCCATTTGCTGGAAGAAAGACACTCATAAACAGAGTTTCTCACCACTGCTAATTGCTGTTCATGTCCTTAATTGCCTTCCATCGTCACAGCCACTCAGTGATGGCTCAAGAGGGTGGCTTCACCCTGTTTCCCCATATGGAACTACAGGTTTCTGGGGATTCTCATGTTTTGCTTCTTTCCTTTAGCACATACACACTCCACACCAGAAAAGAACAAAGAACAATACTGAGAACCAATAATAAATTACATTTCATTTATTTCTTCTTCCTGTTAAAAAATTGCTTTGGTTTTAGTGAAGAAAAAATAACTTCAAATTTGCAAACTGTTTTTTGTCAGATCACCAAAACCTTTGGTTTGGGAGGGGTCTCTCTACAGTTCTTCCCACCATTTTGCTTTCCAGAGTGGGACCACTGCCTAAAACCTTTGAAAGATGTTGAGTTACCACACCCAACTTGCAGGGATATCAGTGCTGCCCACACTGGCTGAGGGCTGCAATCCACCACAGCCACACTGGGACATGTATTGGGGGGGTGTTAATACTTTCACACATAAAATTGCAAGTAAGTATTTTTGCCTTTTGCTGTGTCTGGTGCACCCTCATTTGAACAGGGACAGACAGGAGCTGAGCCCAATTCCTTCAGAGAGCCCAGCGTGTACCTGATTCTCCACCGACCCCCATCCAGTGTGGGCTTAGATCTGAACAAATAATTTAATGGATTTCTCTTCAAATAATTTAATGCATTTCTCTTGTGATGTGCTGTGCCCAAGAAGCCAGGCAGTGGAGGAGCAGGCAGGCTGCCTTTGAACAGAATGCCTTCCCCACTTACATCAATCGATACCGCGTTTCCCGAGGAATTCACAGGAGAAAGATAAAAAGAAAGAACAGGGGGTTTGTAACACGATTTCCAACAACTGCGGCTTAGCAAAGTACAAGAACTTCTGGTTTAAAGTGCAAAATAATCCTCCTTAATCCCCGTCTACAATACTTTAATTAATCAAAATTCTATTCTTACCGAGGAGCGAGAGCTGTTTGGACAGTTTGGGCGTGATATCGATGCCGTTCTTGAGCCAGGTAATTCGGGGATTAGGGATGCCCTCGGCGTGACATCTGAGGCTGGCGGACACGCCCGGCTCCTGCGCCTGCGTCTCGGGGTACACCCGGATCACCGGAGGCACTGCGGGAAACAAGGGATTGGGCACTCGGAACCCCCCCACTGGTGCCACCCCCCAGAGCTGCAGAGAGCCCTGAGCCTGGAGCTGGGCAGAGAAACAGCGCTCTGGCCTCCAGGGCAAGCTCCAGGAATGGTTTCCTACAGCTCAGCCTGGGGGGCAGGACACAGAAAATAATTTCCCAAGCCCTGGCCCAGGTTGCCCAGAGAAGCTGTGGCTGCCCCACCCCTGGAAGTGTCCAAGGCCAGGTTGGACAGGGCTTGGAGCAACCTGGGCTGGTGGAAGGTGTCCCTGCCCATGGCAGGGGGGTGGGATGAGATGGGCTTTAAGGTCTCTTCCAACCCAAACCATTCTGTGATCCTCTGATTCTGTAACAGAAAATAGTAAACTAACACACCAAGGCCAGGGAGCAACTCTGAGATCCAATTTTGTATTTACACCACTCTTGCTTGTTCTTGCTTTCATTAAGTGACTGATCAAACTTAATAGTTGGACTAAAACCTAAGGTGGGTTTTAATTTACAAGTTACTACTTACAAGTTACAGGATAAACTCCAAATCTTCACTGAGTCTAGTAAGGAAGGAATTGGAGTTTTTGCCTATTAGAAGTAGCCTAATATTCAGTATTAACTGAATATCCATCAGGAAGTAGCCTGTGTATTTACTACCTCTTATTCTGAATAAATAAAGTGTTTATCAATTACTTCTTTTCACTGAGAGGTTTTCAAAAAGTGACTTACCTCATTTCAGGAAGGCCCCTCTGAACCACTTAATATACTCAATTGGCAGAACTACTAATTATATTACAATTTCAAAGATGCTCATTGATTTTCAATCATGTTGCCTTCACTGCTCAAACCAACAAGGCTTAATACCACCCATTAACTCTTTCTTACCAATTTACTCACAAACTACAAAAAGAATTTGCAATATTGCAACATCAGTGAAAGACAGCAGTGAGACTCTTTCACCTCAAGGGACAAATAAAAGGAAATGTGAGGATGTGCCATAACAGGGCTGATGGTGTTTGTGTTTCATAATGAAGGGCTCAACTTTTCCACCAGATTAGGAGATTTTGGGGCCCATGATGTAGCTGAGGAAAATGAACAACAACTGCTGGCACTGGTGGAGGACAGAGGAAGATTTGTGGGTTGTGTTTTGTTTGTTTGTTTTTTTTAAGAAAGCCTGAATGAGTTAATAACAAACTTCTTCTGGAAATCACTGGCTTAAGGTATCAAACTCAGTGCTCTATTTTTATATAGTAACTCATTAGGCTCCAGGATTATCAAAACTAAATTGTCTTAACAGTTGCTTTAGAATAAAATGAAATCCTGGTTTGCAGCTTGTTATGTGTCTATACATCCATATGGAGACAGTTTAAATAAATACATTCTCCAGCACACACTTTCCATCTTCCTATTTCTATTTTTTATGGGTCTTACCAGAGAGAGATGTATTTTACTTCTGTCTTCTCCACCAACTGCCAAGCATTAACCAGAGCTGAGTCGTCAGCTTGGAAGGAAATCAGCCCCGACAGAAAGCCCTCAAGTCTACTTGGGTTTTATGGCTTTAAAAGTGAGAGACTGTTGAAGTGTAATGTGAGAGGAAACGCCTACAGCCAACTGGAGAGGGAAAAAAAAAACAGGGACTTCTAGCAAAGGAATGGCTTTGAACTCCACCTCTGCACTGGACCTGTGAGTTTAGTTCCCTGTCTTCTATTTCCACTACTTGAAAAGAAAATAAAATATGTTGTAAGGTGAGGGAAGCACCATCCAATAGCTTTTTAATCAGGGCGTTACCAAAAAGACCAGGTTTGTTTTATTAAACTGAGTGTTCAATTTCTAAATAAAAGCATTTACTACCATTTTATCTCCTCTTCCCCACATTACTGTCAGGTTTGCAGCCCCTCCTGACTTCAGGAGGTGACAAATCCAAGGGGGAGGAGAGCAGGAGAAGGGACCTGCTGCTGGAGGTGCTGGTGGCTGTTGCAGCCATCCCTGTGTTTATTTAAGGCACAGTTCCCAAGCAATTCTGGGGAATAAGACTGGGAGTCATTTCATCAGTACCTTAGAAAATGAACTTAAATTTCCCTGAGTCAGTGTGTCCAGGTAAAACACGATAAAGACAGTAATTTTTGTCCACTTTGACAGAATTTTATGAAGGTCCTGCAATCAATGCTTGTCTCACCTATTATTTGCTTGCTACTAGTAACATTTTGTGAATGAAATGATTTACTAACTGAGGTGCACTGAAAGCCCCTGTGATTTATTCAGACTCACAGCTGGAAGGTGCTGTGTCTCCTACAAACCCAGAGGAAAAAAATTTACAACATCCAAGGAGGTCAAGTGCCCAAATCCGGATGAAATCAACTGATTTGGCTGAGATGCCTCATGGCCAAAGGCATCAGAGCAATGTCACTCCAAGCCTGGTGTCTTCTTCTCACCTGCCAGCTCTCAGAGACAGAGCCCATCCCAGTCATCACCAATTTAATGCTCTCAAAACCAGTGGGGGCTGATATTTTCTTGTCATTGTTTGCTTTAGGCTTTCCTGTTCATCTGGGCACTCGTGCCAGCTCTCCCCATGATGGTCACAACCACTGTGATCCCCAGAATTAGGGCACTCCTTCACAATCAGCCTCACACCTTGAGAGTCTGCACGTGACTAATCCACCTATTTTACCTGCAGGGCTGAAAACACAATAGATTTATACTGCAAAAGGTAGCTCAGAGGTCCCAGACACTGAATCAATGCTCTGCACGAAAATTTCCTCAACTTAAATTTATAGCAAGGTATCTTTCCAAGAGTGATTAGTAAGGGAATTGGGTTTTTTTCACCTACAAAAAAAGATGTGTTGCACCTCCATTCCTGCTCTCTTATCATTTTCCTGCTCCTTCTACTTTTAAACTTTTTATTTTTTCTCCCTTGTCTTACATATTTCACTGCACAGGTAAATTATTGCATGCAAATGCCTTGTGATAACAGCAAACTGCAGAATGCATTTTTATTGTCCTTGCTACAAATTAATACATTCCAAGTAAGCACATTTTTACTTTAAACTTGCAAAGGTTTCAGCTCCAGACTTTAGGATATATGGATTACCCTTTGCTTTTTCCCTAGGTGAATATATATCATCGCTAACCATTACCGTGTCTGCAGCCAAGGGCAATATAAAAATGCCATTATCTTAAGCAAAGTAGGAAAAAAGAGGCATTGAAACAAGCAGGAGATTGGGTAGATTGCCTACTGCTGCATACTGAGCAGCACCTCAGTTGTGAGCAGCCCAATCCATTCCAGCAAAGCAGCTCAGGTGATAAAGCACACGATGAGCACAGATGGTGGCACCGAGGCCCACAGACATCCATTGCTGCTGCAGGAGCTCTGTACTCCAGGGGCTGGTGATAATTAACAGATTAGTCATTTACTTGAGATGTTTCGCTCTCTCCATTTATGATTTGAAAGGAGTTTGCAGCATTGTATGTTTGCTCTTGAAAAGCCACATTACCAAAACACCCGTGTTTGTAACCTCTCCCTGCCACTGCAAAATCTGTCCTATTGGACCCTTATAATTGGGCTGAGGATCAAATGGCTTTTTAAAACTGCTTTCAAGGAATACAATATTCTGATTTATGCTGATGTTTTCCTGAGTGCAAGGACCAGGGAAAATGATGCCCTACACTCAGCAGTCTCTTGATTTGCAAACTATCAATTTTCATAGTTGATTACAATTTTATGAGATTCTTTATCCTCAGCAACTCTTTTTTTCCTCTTGAAAGTGATAAATTGCTTTTCCTCACTACAGTTAGTGTATGCTGTACACATTTCCCAAGCAATATCCATACGTAGGAGAGAACATAATTTTCCTACTGTTCTTGGCTTCTCCTGATCAAAGATACCAGCACACAAAATGAATTTTTCATTCTTAAACTGTTTAAACACTGCCTTTCAGCACTTTCTTTTCTTCCAAAAATGTTAAGGGCCAGATGTATAAACACACTGACTTAAATTTTACCACTAACTGTGAATTCTAAGAGTGCTCAGCTCAACACAAACCTCCCACCCCAACCAGGCTGTATTTCACAGGTGCTTCTTGCCCAGATGTGAGCCAGTGGTTTGGGGCACTGATATGGTGCTCTTCACATTTTCTGCCTAACAGGATTCTCATCTCTGCTTGTCAAAATGACCATCTGGACCTACCCACATTATTTGGGATATCCTGAACCAGCTGATACAAAGGGAAGTGCTGCAAAGCAACGAGCAGTTGAGCAGCAGTAGAGCTCCAAATCCCAGAAACTTCCGATGTCGTCAAAATCGGGCTGCAAAATTTCTATTTAAGCTCGTATTTCCTAACTTTCTATATCCCTTAAGCAATGCAAAAGCCAGTGTTACATTCTAAAAAGAGGCAAAGCAGAAAGCAAGATAAAGAGAATATAGTATGTTAATAAAAGCAGATGAAGTGAGCACATAGAACTAGGATCAGATTCTTTTGTAAGCTGGACTGGTGGGTCTCAGTGGGAACAGTAAGACAGGGCCCAGGTGGTACAAAAAGGATCCAAGGACACTGGAAGAGTTACTGCAGCTTTGAAAACACTGAATTAACTGAAAAACAGTCTAAAAGTTTGAAACTGTACAGACACAGTGAGCTTGGGAAGGGTTGGGGATAAACCCTTTTACTGCCAGTTGGCTCTTCTTTCTCTATTCTCTCCCAACAGACAAACTTGGGAGCTGTCAAAAAAAAATTCTGATAACTTTTTTTCTGATAATTTTTTTTTGTGGAATAAAACCCCCCCCACGTTTTTGATGTTAAAAGTAGATCAGTGCCTCCCCAGAGGAGACAGGAGAGCAGATACACCCGAGTTCTGGTTGACTTAGTTCTGTCACATTCTCTTACCGTTTTAGTCCAGTACAGGGAAGCAACAAAAACCCTCCCGTGTAGAAGATGGAGTTTTTAGTTTGATACAGACAGACAGAGACAAGCCCCAGTGCTGAGCAGAGCCCATCAACCACACTTAGAGTCTCAGCATCTTCCCTCTATTCACTTTGGCTCAGTTTCTTCCCTCTACTCCTGTCAAGAAAAATTCCTCCATTTGTCCTTTAAGTTATTGAAATCCGAGGTTTCCCTGCAGAGGGCTCTGCCTTGGGAACCCCCTGATGCATCTGAAATCCAGCAAGGCTGTCCTGCCATCAGGGCTGTCACCCCAACATCAGTTGCTGGACAGAGGCAAAAAAGAAGAGAATTTAGTGATGTGGGCAGCCAGCCAGCCACATCAACAACTGCAAAAACCTGGCTTTGAAAAGCCTAATGGCACACACAGGAATATAAGATGCTGTAAGACAAAGATTCCTAGACCCTGCACTGTTTTCTAGCAAGGCTGGGTTGATACCAGAATGCCTGGCATTTTATTCAGTATTTAGTGACTATACAGCAACATTAAAAAGCCAACAAGAAAAGTGGGGGTTTTTTTGTATAATGGCATTTTTCTATCAGCAAGAAAACCCCTGTGCAGCTGTGGTGTGAAACTTCCACTTAAAAGAAAATGTGATCTTTCAACAAGTTAAATCTAAGTGGCAGGCACGAGTATGGAACAGATCACCCCCTCCCCACACTCCATCCAGCATTCCTCTCATTCTGGTTTTAGTTTCAAAGCCTTTGGGCCTTCTATTCTCAGTGATGATAAAGTCTACATTGTTGTCTGCCAACTAAACTCCATTCAGGCCTCATAATACATCACATAATAGACACGGGATTAAGTTGTTAGCTGGCTTTTCTTTCAACTGCCATTCATCAACCAAATAGCACTTTGAGGAAGGAAACCTATTTTCCCAGCTGCAGCTTGCACAATTTAGTTATCCACATTGCCAAGATTTACAGTTTACTCTCTCAAAAGATGACAAATTATTATGGAGAGACATTAAGTCAGTTTTCATTCAAATCAAGCGGGTGCCTCGTGCTCCCCTCCAGGTACTCGCTGTGCTGGGGGAGCACTTCCATCCAGCACACCTGGTTTTTAACTTAAACCTAAACCTCATGTCCACCATGGCTCTTCTTAACATCCATAAACACCCTTTTTACTGTTCCTCCTCTCACTATTAACCTGTGTAACCTGCTCCTACCAGTTGAAAGCTCTCCTTTGTGCATGCCTGCACACATGTAGAGAAAACACTTGATATTAATTTTTCTTAGATTTCTTCTAATACAGTTACTGAGTTTTCCTTAAATATAAACACTTCCATACCAGAGTATGTCAAAATCTGCCCATAGTTAGCAATGGGTGACCCTGTCTCCTGTTCTGGAAATACTGCTGGGCATATTAGCACATGGAAATAAGGGTTTAAAGTTGGAAAAGGATGTTGCTGCTGGGGAGGTGGATACTCCATGGGCTGCTCCCTTGATGAAATGCTGGTTTAATCTCATGTAATTTTAAACCAAATCCGACTGACTGAGTTTGAGGTCAGGAGAAAGATAGCGAGTGCCTCAATATAAATTCCACCAGGCACAAATGTGGTCCAGGGGACGGAGGTGAACGAGAATGCTGGAATATGGCCCGTGTGATTCTCTCACCCGTAAAATGGTTTGCCCTCATTTTGCAACCCAGTGGGCCAGTGTAAATAGCCCTCAGTGAACCAAGCTGAGTACAGCAGGGCAGGAATCTGATACATAGCTGGGAGTTGGATGGCTAGTTTTGGAAACACTGCTGTATTTATTTAAATATTCTGGGCTATTTCGTGCAACAGAAATGATTTTCTGGAAGAAGAAATTATCGAGGCAACACTTGTGTTGACAAAAGTAGTAATTAGTTTAAGAGATGCTTTGAAATAGTGCTCTGAAGTCTATGGAGGTGTCAGTGACAGCTTTTTTGACAGTGAGGATCCCTGCTGAAGGCCAGGTAATTACACACAGCCCCCCTGGCACTTTTCTTTCTGACTGTGAGTGAGCCCCGAGCCGCGTTCGCTCTCGGGCACAGAGAGTTTGGGCCGTGGCTTCACACGCCTCTGTGTGAACGAGGCTAACACACAACTTTTCTCAGGGAAGGTTTTCATGGAATGTCATATATGCCATTTACTAACCATTCACCTGAAGGATGTGGGTCTGATACAGCTCCTCGTAGCCGTAGGCATGACAGGTGTAATTGCCCATGTGCACGGTCGTTACCTTGGTGATGTAGAGGGAATCGTCCTCTCCAAAATCCTGCATGGAACAGAAGACAGGAAAGGTGCCTTGTTATTTAGTAACAATATTTTAAACACTCCGTGAATGGAGACTACCTGTTCAGTGGGTTTGATGGCATCACAGCCTGGGGACGCAGCTTGAATTCTGAACAGGAGGTTTTAAAGTTCATGAATCAACAGGCAGGGAGGAAATAAGAGGTGATTTAAGAGTAAGGAAAGCATCTCATCTGAGAATACAAACTTTTGTGCTGGCTGCTAACAAGGTGCTCTTTGCACATAAAAAGATGGCAAGCTCCTGCTGTTTAATTTATGGGGGAATTTAATATCTCCCTATTAACCTCAGACGCATAAAACGCAAACCTTTGGGTGGGTTCAGGGTTCCTTTATCTGTGCTGGTTCTTAGAAAAGGCACTGCAGCCTTGAGACTTGAGGAGAAAGAACTGAAGCTGTTTGTCACTTATCTCAGACAATATCCTAGGCAGGAGACAAGCAAGTAGACAAAAAGCCTTTTCTCAGACAAACCTGTTTAGATCTGTAAATGTTTAACAAGTATCTTTCTTCATCCCCTTCATCTTCCTAGATCTGCTCTTGCATTCCTTCAATTTTTGACTATAGATGGGGAGGATATGAGTTAGTAGAGATGTTTTGGCACTTGAATATGTTGTACAAGTGCTCTGCTTAGGAATTTATTTCAACTCATTATTTATTTATTTACTTCAATATTTATTTACCAAATTACAGCTAACAGAACCACAGCACTGATGGGTATGTTAAGCAGCTTCTCTTGTTACTCCACTAACGTTCACACTTCTGCAGCTCCACAGTGTTTGCATTTCTATGCAAACCCTGGAGGATACATTTAAAAACAGTTCATGAGCTTAAGGAACGATTTTCCTGTAATCATCCCCACGTGAGAAGCATGCTAAACTGACCTCTTTGCATAATTTCACTGCAGTATTATGGGAAAATCCAACTTTGAATCAGGGGGCACAAACCCAGTACAAGGGAGTGAGTGTTGGAGAGTGGCTTTGCTCCTGGAAACCCAAGGGCTTGTTTCCAAAGCTCCAGTGTGCAGCTGGAAGGCAGCCCAGGGGGCAAGGGGAAGCCCCTCCATGAGGTCCTGCCTGTGCCACCCTGGTGACATGGTCATGCAGCAGCGGGTGAGGAGGGGACAGCTCACCACTGTGTCTGCCAGCAGGGCTTGACTGAGCAGGCCAGGGTGCACAGACTACACAGGAAGGTCACTTTGCTCTGCTGGTTGGGAGTCAGGAACCTGGTCCTAATTGTGCTGGGGAGAGGGAATCCATGTGCCCTTCTGTGCTGCACCCATAGCAGCGCCAACACAAGAGTCACAGCATCATAGAATATGGTGAGCTGGAAGGGACCCATCAAGATCATCAAGTCCAATTCCTGGCCCTGCACAGGACACCCAAGAGTAACACCATGTGCCTGAGAGCACTCCCTGAGCTCTGGCAGCCTTGGGGCTGTGCCCACTGCCCTGGGAAGCCTGGTCAGTGCCCAACCACCCTCTGGGGGAAGAACCTTTTCCTGAGATCCAACCTGACCCTGCTCCAGCCATTCCCTTGAGTCCTGTCTCTGCTCTTCAGAGTGAAGAGATCTGTACCTGTCCCTCCACTTCCCCTCCTGAGGATGGAGAAGGAACCACCCCCCTGCACTGCTGCTGCTGCCAACGCCTGCCAGGTGCTCAGCAATAACAAGCAGGAGTTGTTTGATCACCGGATGGGCTGATTTCTAAATCAACACCATTTGGGGCTCCTTCCACCTCACATTTTCCGCCTCTTCACGGTGCACCTGCTGTGCAGTTTGAAGCTTTCCTTTCCAGCCACCACCTTTTGAACATTTTTTGAAGGAAGCTGCGGTTCTGCAGCAGCCGTGAGATGCCAGCTGGCACCTTCAAGAGAAGTACAAAGGAGCCCATCTCTTGCAGTATGGATTGATCTGGCACTACTTCTGCCAGCTCTTGAATCTTCTCCAAAACCTTCTGTCTGGCACTAGAGAAGCGTCTTCATGCCTCTCCTCTCAGTGGCAGGTCAGCACTGGCAGGGGGGAGGGAATTTTGAGAACTTGCCTAGTTTTTAGACATGCTTTAAGGCAGATTTAGAGAAATATGGAGCTTACCAGCAGGACAATAACCCTTCCCAAAGCACAGACCTTCACCTGAGAAGGCACAGACATAACCATAACCTGGTTCTGTGGCAGTGCTGCCCCGATAGGCAAACATATCAACAATTACAAAGAATCAGAGTAAATCCACAGATGATCTGAAATCCATTATCTATCATCAAAAGCATCTCAGATATTATTGTCACCTCAATGTCAGGCAGACTCAGCATCTACACTGTGGGATTAGCTGGTTAAACTATCCAAGACATTATTACAAATATCTACTCAAAAATCCCCATTTCAAGCATTTGCCTGTTTTCTGGTCAGTTAGATCTTCCCTGATGGAAAGCAAAGATGCATGAGTAACTGCAAACAGAAAACATATCAACCCTGTTCAAACGATATTTGCATGAGAGAGAGAAAATGCCTTGTACTGGAGGGGACTTAGTAACAGCTTTTAAAAGTTAAAAGAAACTCAAATTGAGTTTAGATCAATAAAAGCAGGATGGCTACTTTTATGGAATGATTTATAAGGAGTTGTGGAAAAACAGGACAATAAAATCTTCTCTATTTAAGTAGGTTTCTTCCTTTAAGACATCTCAGAAACATATTCTGAGTGCTTGGTTTGTGCTCTGTAATTGTCTTTTTATGGACAATCTGTTTTTTCCAATGCATACAAATGTATTAATATAAGTAAAGACCCTTACAAAAACAAACAGATGCAAGACTATAGTATTATTCTCTCCCTCTCTAAATGTGTTTTTCTTGAAAAGAGGGGCTTATGTTGGTAAAAACATGGTTTATGACTTTAAAAAAATATTTTCTGATTTCTAGTGCTTAAAGAAAGTTATCAAGGAAGATTTAGGTTAACACTGTATCATTTATGTTGGGATGAAGGAAATCATCAGCTCTGTACTAGAATCTGCACACACAGTAAATTCATATAAGACTACAGCATTATTAAAAATGAAAAGTGTTAGATGTGGAAAGGAAAAGGTGATTAAGAGATTAAAGGTTTGATACTGAACCTCTTGTTGCTACAAAAAATAGTCTGAATTCTCTAAGAAATTAATGGCTCTTTCTGTGTGTTTATGGCAGCTCACAGTTTCTCCCTGTGTTTCCCTGTGGATATAATTAGTACATTAGGATTTCACAGCTACATTTTATATCTCTGGCTGCATTCTTATGCACAAGCACTTTCTGTGTGTGTTTCAGACGGGTATATTTGGAAGTGCTGTAAAAACCAAGCCCCAGAGCACTAAGAAATGATGAGTCTTTGATTCCTTAACAGCCCCTAACTTTACATCTCGCACTGGTCCCAGTCAGGAGTGCTGGGGCACAGTGGGAAGCTGTGGGATAGGTTTGGGATGTACCCCATCTCCCTCCAGGTTGCCTTTGGGAGCTCTGAGGAGCTGCCCAGCTGCATCTCTGGGTGTGAGTTAACCCTGCCAGCTGCTGGGAGGGGGTGGGCAGAGGGAACAGGAAGAATTCAGGGTGGGAAAAGGCAGAAGAAACATGTTAAAGCTTTGGGTTTATTTCAGATAGCTTTTGCTTGTAAAGCCAGTTTTCCAAGTCACCACAAGCCTAAAAACAGAGTGAACCACAAACATCTATAAAACTGAGGGAAGGTGATTCTATCATCCAGAACTATCCCACCTTTAAAGCTGAGGATTTCAGGGCTGTCCAGGAGGCTCAGCAAGTGCTGCACCACCCAGGGAGCTGGGACTGCCCTACCCCAACCCCAAAAATGCCCCACAGTGAGCTGGAAAGGCATTTAAATGTACTGTCCCATGAAAAAGAACAGGCAACCAGGAGAAAGGCAAGAAAAGTAACTTCTGAGACATGGTTTTCCTCATTTACCACTGAAGGTGAATTTTCATGGAGTCATAGAATCACACAATGGTTTGGGTTGGAAGGGACCTTAAAGCTCATCCATTCCCACCCCCTGCCATGGGCAGGGACACCTTCCACTAGCCCAGGTTACTCCAAGCCCTGTCCAACCTTGCCTTGGACACTTCCAGGGATGGGATGTCCCACAATTTTCTTGTGAAGAGGAAGAAACAGAAGTGATGAAACCAGAGGCAGAACCCACCTAACCCCACAAAGTGATGAACTCTGCACCACAGCAGCCAGATAGGCACAGGGTGTTCATCACCTCTACTTTATGAATTTCATTATAAAATAATTCTACACATTCTGATAAAAAACCCTCAGAAACCTATGCTTATAATTTCTCATAATTGATAAGGTCGACTAGTGGCAGCTGATAAATTGGCTTCTCCAGCAGTTCGTCTCATGTTTTCTCTCCCTTTTTCCAATAAAATGTTCTCTGCCCTTCACGAGCTTCTTTCATGTCTGGCAGTTACCCCTCAGCTAAAGGACTGATTAAATGACCTTAGAATATATTTTAACTTTTCAAGATTAAATAAATGCACCACCCTGCCTTTTACATTGATAACAGCTTGGTAATCTATAAAATATTAAAAAAAAAAAAGCTGCTATTCACACAGTCTGTTTCAGAAAACAACAAAGCAGATACCAGAAAATGGATGTGTACCTTTTTTTTTTGTATTGTATTTCCTTTCCATCACTACTGATTACCCAAGGCATCGCTCTCTCCAAACACAGGACGTTCCATATTTATTTATCCCCTTCCCATTCCAAGGCATTCCCTGGGCACGGGCTCTGCCGGGGCTCGGCGACACCGCGCTCGGAGACGTGGAAAATGTGGACATTGCCTGGAAATCCTGCTCACATTCTGTCCCAGGTGAATCCAACCTGTGACTGTAACACCACAGATCTCCTGCTCTGACACCCCGGAGGGAGCTGGGGGAGAGGAGCCCCGTTAACCCTGGATATGGATCCAGCCCCAATGCCAGGGGGTGCGGGCACCCG